CCATTATTTCTAAATTTGAGTAGGTAGTTTTCCTTTAGGAGGTAAAATGGTGGTGGTGGAATTATGCCATCCTACTGTCACTAACACACCACTTTGTGGATAGCAAAAGATAAGGCCTGAGCAAGGAAATGCTATTTAAAGCTCTGCTCAGGAACCTAGACATTTGCATTTGATAGAAGGGATTTAAATTGTATTAGAAGGCAAGGTGCACTAAACAATCACAGTTTATTACTATGTTGGTTCACTGCCTGAGAGCGTACTTATCGCATGCTGCAGTAACAGAGGAGAATCAGTCTTCTCTGCACTTGAGCTATATGCATATTAATAGAAGGTTAGCCAAGCACACAAACAGGAGTGGGGGCCAAACACTTGTTTCAAAAGCAGCGTGCCGATTTCAGATGGACAGAGCTGTGCATTTCAAGGCTTAAGTCAGGTTTTACTTACAACTTTCTCCCTAACAGAATGAATTCTAGTATAGTGTTTGGAAATGAACTCTGACTATACCCAAACAAGCACAATCCTATCACCAGCGAGAAGGCTAGCTGGACCTGATGATCCTAGCTGATTCTAAGAGGCAAAACATCTACACACTCCATAACAGCCAGGCCAAAGATTGCCTTTCAATCTGGTATACAAATTATGTCATATAGTAAAACTTCACATGGAGACTATTCCTAGCCAGCACGATTCAAATATGAACACGTTTCTTTTCGCTTCTTCCTAAAGGAAGCCCACATCAAGCTAGCCTGTAACTTCCATCAAAAAATGTAAAGCACCAAAACTGCCACATTTCAATCAGGCTAAAATGGAACGTAAAGTACAGCCTAGTATTTCCTACCAAACTCCTGCCCCTCTAGACCAGCAGTTTTCAAACTTTTTTTTCTCGTGACCCAGATGAAGAAAATCATTGATGCCTGAAACTCAACATAATTTGACTAGAGCGTGGGCTCCAGAATGGGGCTGAGGATAAGGGTGTAGGAGGGGGGCTCTAGCTTTGGGGGGGCAGGGATCAGGGATGGGGCAGAAAGGGCTTACCTTGAGTGGCTCCCAGTCAGTGATGCAGCCGGGGTGCTAAGGAAACTTCCTGCCTCTCGTACCATTCCAGGCCTGGCTGCGCCCCAGAAGCAGCCAGTAGCAGGTTCCCAGTCAATGGGAGTGTGGAGCTAGTGCTCAGGGGAGGGGCAGTGTGCAGAACCCTATGCATTCTTTCCACACTCCCCACCTAGGAGCCGGGCCTGCTGCAGGCAACTTCTGGGGCACAGCACAGTCTGCGGTGCCAGGAGGGGCAGGAAACCTGCTTTAGCCCCCCCCACTGGTCACCTTTCAGCAGCAAGACCCAGGGCCTGACATTCCACAACCCAGTACTGAGTCATGATCGCTAGTGTGAAAACCACTGCTCGAGACCTCACTTCCTTTTCACCCTCCAACTTACTATCCTGGATTCTCATGGTGGGTCTCTCACCTGTCTTCCCCCTCCCTTGGCTTTCTGGTTGCACATGTGGTACAAGGGTCTCACATGCAAGGAGATGGCCCCTCTGTATTTTCAGCACCTCCCATGAATTTCACTAACGGAGCTGAACTTAGTAACTAACTGGGCTGCACCCTCGGAGATGGGGGACAGGGAGTAACACTCCTGTATCATGGAGAGAATGAGTCAAACGGGGAAGTAAAAGGCAGCAACTAGTATCCAAAATATTTATAGTCCAGATCCCCCCAATTACAGTGGTCCTGCTGAGACTGGGAAGGAAGACTGCAGCTGCTAAAACTTCTTAGAGAACAGGGCACAAAGTCAACATGAGGCACACAGAGCGTGTGTATACACACTACATGTTTCCAGTCCTGGAGGTCTAGCATGCCCAGGGCATGTACCAGCTTTGCCCTGGTGACCGGAACAGTAGTAACGTGTATGCTTACAGTTTTCATTCAGCTGTGACACTGAATTCAGGCCAGGAGGGAATACTAAACAAGGAGGGATGGGATGCATCAGCAGGCAGACAGAACTCATCGCTGAAGTGCTCATTCATACCCAGGAAATCATTTCAACGTGCACTTGCAATGTCGATTTTGTTTTGATAACTCTAGGCCACATGCTGGCAGAGAGCCAATCAAACTCTGCTTGGCTTTTTATGATCCATACATTGTCTTCCTAGTTTCTTCCTGCCTTCTTTTCATTGGTCAATTTTGTCTATTAAGAAACTACTGTATTACAGATGAATAGGGAGTCACAGACAAGCAGCAGAGTTTAATGGCAGGGATACAGAAACTTGTACATTCTAAACCTGCTGTGCTGTTGAGTCCCTGGCTTTCGATAAGTCTGTGCTGTACTTTTCCAGTACTAAAAAAATGACTTAATCATGCTTCTCTGCTTGGAGGTTGTGAGGATTAAATAACTGACTAATCTTTATTTTGCACTTTGAAAATCTAAAGCACTCCAAGTGCCAAGCCTGGTCAAGGCCAGGAATGGGGAGCTGTGGTTGGTTTTGTTACCAGGAACAGAAATGCCTGTACAAGTTGAACCTCTCTAGTACAGCATCCTTGGGACTGGATTGGTTCTGAACGAGAGAATTTTCTAGACCACAGGAGGTCAATATTGCCTAGAAGCATCACCAACACTTCCACTGCTTACCGGGCTGTTAGAGGACATTTAGGGGTAAATTAAGAGCTAAATAACAGCACAGAACACTAAGAGCCAGAACTAGTGGCTGTAAACAAACTTTATAGTACCGGGGAAAACTTGGCCACACCTATGAAAAGTGGGCATCCGGCTAACTAAAATCATTCTGGACAATGGATGTTTCTGGACCAAAAAGTTCTGGACTACAGAGGTTCAACCTATACTCCGAACATTTCCTCCGAAAGCCCCCTTTTCTGAAGCTGCAGTGTTCCACTTTTCAGTGTGCTCTCCAAGTGACTTACTCACCGAAAGCCCCCTTTTCTGAAGCTGCAGTGTTCTACCTTTCAATGTGGTCTCCAAGTGACTTACTCATTCACTGCTTCCTTAAATCAATGAGGTTATCTTACTATTAAAGCACGGATAAGAGTAGGCCAACATTTCGTCTATCCACATATGTTGACAGGTTACAGTCCTAGATTTCTGCCATCTGTACAACCAGTTTATCCTTTGTCCAAAAGCAAGATACAAGATGGCACTAGTGTAACTGAATCGGCCCCAGCTGCCTGCTTCTGCAGCGAATGAGCCAGAATACACATTTGTTATTCCCTTTTCAAAAGGAAGCAGGAGATGGACACACTTGCCCTTTAAATCATTCAGCTTTTTCAGGAGATGGGCTGCTTGCCCTGGTCTGTTAATGTGGGAGCTGTTCAATGCAAGGCTGAAAAGGTTTCCTCTCCTGGGAAAGCAGCTAACTACTGCTGAACATTTGGTGGCCTTTACAAAAAGAGGCAATTTCTGCCAATACATCCCCAGCAGGCTAGTAAGGATGGGCTCCAAATGTGGTGGGAATGTGATGCAGGAGCTTCATACTGTTTGCATGGGGCATCTGCTCTAGCCGACAAGCTCCAAAAGTGATCCTGGAAATTTTCAGACACTGTGACATTAGGATGCATGAAGAGGAGATATTTTCATCCAATATACAGATATTTTCAAAAAAAAAGCTTGACAATAATAGAAACTTCATGGCTAAGAGTACTAGGAAACACTTTGACACAGCTACCGGATACTATCAGAATTTTTCCCTTCTTCATTTATAGACCTGGAATGAACAAACCTTTTCCTTCTTGGGAAAAAAAAAAAAGTTCCTTCAAACAGACATCTCTCTAGCTCTTTAAACACTGGGGCAGATTGCACTTTCAACCACTTACATTTAAATTGTTAAATAATGTTAATAACTGAAATGATGCACTGATGATTGATGGGTGCAGAATAAACTGGATGCTCTTACTTCAGCACTGAAAAGGACAAAGAGGGGGTGCATGAAACACCATCATCCTAGTTTCTTAAGGGAACAATTCACTACTTAACTTCAATTGTTTCTGGTTTTCTTTTTATTTGAACATTTTGCTTTTGGGGATCCAGCCTGTCATAACCATGGGGGCTGACCAGTACCTGGGGACTAAGGGGTTAACTATGTCTCCTGTCTCTAGCCAGGTATCTGGTCAGCCAATAGTAATGCAGGTAGGGGTTTCAAACTGGAAGAAAGGAATTTTTAAATTTTCCCTCCTTTCTCCGAATCAGAGCAGTTTCTTCCATGTAACAGGGAGATGCGAAGGCCTGTCTCTCTCCCAAGAATGGACTTTTTATGTGTGTAAGTAGGGCAAAGTTAGTTAACCAGTCAGGTTTTATTTGTTTCCTGGTTTGGGAATGTGGAATTGATGTGTCAGCTGTTCAAAGTGTATTTTTTTCTTTTCCCTTTAAAAGAGTTTTCCTTTTGTAACTAAGTTTGAGCCCATGAGGGAGGGTCCCCTCCATGAGTATATCAACTGGTGGCGCTTTTTCATCTAGCCACTTTATTATGCTTGCAACTATGGTATTGTTTTGCTAATAAGTTTGTTTTCCTTTGTCTAATTAACTTGTATTGGTTCATTTCTGTTTCCTGGAAAATCTGTCTGTGGGTAACTGCATACCTCTGACTAAGGGGCAGCTACCACAGACTGCAGCTTATTTTTTTTTCTTTTCAAGCTCTTTGGGGAAAAGAGCTTGTGGTACCCCTGAGGTTTTTAGGGAGGAGGTTTCCCAAATGATCTCTTCCCTGGTTTTCTTGGAATACTTGGGTGGTGGCAGCGGTTTTTATTCTCCAAAGTCCAAATCAGGATTTTGGGGGAAGTTTTTGTACCAAAGCCGGTAGAGATCAGGTTTTGGGGTGCTTTTGCAGGCCCCCACTTCTGTATTTGTCATGCCAAAGTTGAGAACAGCCTTGACACAACCTCAAAGCTCCACTAGCCCATAACAGTCCTTCCCAATGAACATTACATGCTAAAAAAAATTGAGTACAAAAATGAGTTACACAAAAATAATTCTCATTAAAAATAGCAACCTTGCGTCCTGTACACGTCTAGTTGTATTGTTATCAGGAGTGTATTTTTCTTTTTGACATGGTGCCAGAGGCTTTTTTGTACATGTTTCTATATATTTTCTCCAGGCTGTCTTCAAAGATAGCTCTGTGGGGTTTTCCTTTATACACAGCTGCATGGTTGGACCAATATTCACCATTATCCAAGTGAACGGTGGTGTTCTGCTGAGCCGATGAACTGTTAACATAAGCAAAGCCAAAATGATCAATCTTAAGGGAAGAGGAAACAGGAGTCTATAAATGCAACGTGAACCTAGATGCAGTGCTGAGACAGTGACATTTTACAAGCAGAAACACAATTATACCACAATTATTCAAAGGAACAGAAGCCCATGTTATTGAAATACAGAGGTCTTACTTCATGTAACTAGATACCTGCTAAACAGAGACAAAATTCTTTCTGGAACAGAATGTCGTTGCTTTACTGTACTTTGATTGGCAGTGTGACAATGCATTGAGCAGTATGCAGCGGCTACACAGTATCTGTGTGTCCTTTGAAGGTCAAAATACACCCATAAGCAGCTATTTCAATATGAAGACAATCTATTCAAGGTAAATTAAATTACTTCAACTGCAGCTATAATGTGTTCTATCCTCTCTCTCAGGTTAAAAATATATTTTACCAAATACATTATGAGACAGCAGCAATGGAATGTTACTCATTTCTTCCCCTTATGTGTCACTGATTTAATATCTGTAAGAAAAGATATTAATATACCAGTTGCTTCCAGAATTCATTTTCCTAGCACCATCAAGTAGAATGTATCCTCTAAAAGTCTTCATTACCAAGCACTGACAAATGTTAGTGCATTTATATCTAAGCGTCACGGAGTGATTGTTTTCTCTTAGAACCTCTGAAATAAACAGTTGCATTATAATAAAACCAATTAGTTTGATTTTGTGTTACTATATTTGAAATTAGATCATAAAAAATTAAAAAGGTAAATCTCAGTCCTGGGGTAATTTTTTTCAAATGCACCTAACTGACGTGGTGTTTTTTAAATGTTTACCCCTTTTCTTCAGAGGTTCAGATCCCAACTCTACCATCTCCTGGGTATGGGAAATTTATTGGTGGCCATTTTTATCTAGAAAATAGAAATAAGATTTGATTTTACAGGTAAATTTCAAACTGGGTCGTTTATGCATATTTTGATCAGGTCAAGTCACACCACTTCAGTAGGGTGGCAAAACTTCCAGGTCTTAAAATTCTGTTTAATACATATTAACTTCAAGACAATGTGACAAATGAGTGAACCAATGTATGTGAAATTATTAATGAGTGTATTTTTAGCAAGCTACAGTAACTTCTAATGAGGTTTCTTTCCACTGAAAGCTGCAATTTAAACCATATGAATAGGGTGGGGAAGGATGAGAGATTTAGGGCCAGCTCTTAAAACCCTGGTCTCTCTTTTTGCACATGATAAACAGAAGCTATAATGCTCCATTTACAAGTATATGCTGAGGCACAAAGAATGAAATTTGGAAGCCAGCCTATATGAAGGAGTTGGGTGAAAAAAGGCATCAGTTGTTCTTACACAACTGTGGGCACGAGGCTGAAAAAGCATGACAACCTTTCCTTTCCCACACTCCAAAAACATAAAACAGGCCCTGGTATTTTAAATCAACTGACTATCTGGAGTAAATTAAAAATAGTTCTCTTAACAGCGAGGCGGAACTGCACATTACATCTTTGACTCACAAGAAACTAACACAGAGAGAACGTCAAACCAACAAGAGACCCTCATGGCGCCACTCTGAATAGTTCTGTAGAACTGGACGCCTCTAGGAACTGCTAGATAAAGGTACCAGTTCTGCTTCCTTATTTAGCCAGATTGCTTCCTATAGTCTGCATTGCACTTTCTTCTACTTAAAATGCAATTTGGGCCAGAAAAACTAACGTTACTCATGTGCCTCCATTCAAAACCCATCACAGCGGCAAACATAGATGACTCTTCAAGAATGAGAATAACGTCAGCAAAGTCCAAATCAATGCCTTAAAGCTTAAGAGCTGTCTATTTTTGGTGTATTTCCATTAGTCACTCCTTGCTCATAAGATATTCAGCAGTAGTATGGACATAGACACAGGCCTGGCAGAGAAAAGCCAGTCTCCTGTCTCAACTGGAAACCATCCTGACAATCTGAGCTAAGTGATCTGGGAATTACACACACAAATTATCAACAGCAGGATTTCTGCACGCAACTCCCCATTCTGAACTACCTGTCATATGCTTTTATTCCCTCATACATGTCCTTTAGGAGTCCCAAAAGCTCTTTTCAGAGTGAGTCATACACTGAATATTTTAAACAACATGGACCTATTCCATATTCCCAGTGGTTTTCAATCATCTACTTTACTGCAAACATTTGGTCAGGCAGTAGCATGTCCTTCTCTGAACTCTCCCTCTGTCCTAGTATCCTGTTGACAAAAACTGTGCAAATATAGAGCAGTCAAATGATCATTGAGTTCTTATCTCTCTCCCCCTTTCGTGCAGTGGAATTAATGTTGCCGGTGTTTAACCCTAAGATACAATTCTGTCCCAACCTGAGTGCTCCATTTCATATCCCGTCAGTTACTGATATTGTAATACTGGGGTTTGATGCACCTCCCTTCCCCAATGCTTGAAGTTTCAACATCAATCTCAAAGTTGCCTCAATACAGAGATGTGTGCACATATACAGACACTTTGTTTGCTTCAACTTGTCAGGGTAAGGGCACATATGGGATACACTTAGAATAAAGACGTGGCAGTAAGTACAGAAGTGTTCCCAACAATTGATCTAAAACTTGATGAAGAGAAAAGTAATTGCTCTTTGACAGAAGGGGGTATAATTAGGATTGTAATCCTTAGTGACACCCCAACTGTGGAAATCAAAATGTAGAGTTTTTAAACATTTTTTTAAAGTTCATTACACTGCACAATATGAATATGAATGTGTTTTCCTATCTGCACATACACCAATGACTCATGAATTTGGAAGTCACTATGAAAGTTTGCCCTAAATGTAAGTGTTAGAACATTCCTATTTTAGGTCAAGTCCATCTAGATTTAGCACTGCAGTCCCAGCCCTCTCTCACCACAGCAACTTAGGGCCAGGAGAGAAGCATTTTTCCATGGCCCCTGCAGCTCCAGCAGGCACAGTTGGGGGATGGTTGCTTGTCCTGAGGCTGAGGCAGGTCCAGGTTCATCTGCCCCCTGCTCTCCCCAGCCAGAGTGAGGAATGCAGCAAACTGTGCATGTTCCCCTCACTCCCTGACAAAGGGAACAGCCAACAGCATCCCATATGAATCAGGGGGCAGGAAAGCTTCAGCCCCACTACCCTCCCTAAAGGGTGCCTGGGGATAGGAGGCTCGGGGATGGGGCAGTCCTGGACAGGGGAAGGGAGTGTCCCCAGTCAGCCATTTTCGTCTGCCTGTTGATTCGGACTCTTTTCCTGTATGGGTTTCTGAGAAGCAATCCCATTCCAGGTACATCCCATTTTCCAGCCATAACCAATCTCTGACCTTGCTTTACATTCTGATAAGAGGAAGCTGTGGTCCTAGCTCTTATCGTTTAGGAGGTCTTGAACAGATTCTCTCACATACATAGCAGATAGTTATTTTCATCCTCAGAAATCCCACAGTGTTTCACAAACAACCACCAATGCACCCTTCCCCTCTTCCCACACTGAACACAACTATCTCTAGGGTAGAGGATGGCAATGACTCCTCACTAGGAGTAAGAATGCTAGAGCAAGATCTGCTTCAGAGGAAGAGTGCCAGAAGATGCTAGCATGCATCTGATGAAGTGTTTTTACCCATGAAAGCATATGATCAAAGAAACATATTAGTCTTTAAGGTGCCACAGGACTCCCCACTGTTTTTGCAAATACAGACTAACATTGTTATCCCTCTGAGAAGATACTATGTTTCTGTAAATCAGATAGGGCTACAGTTTTGAGGTCTCATCTGAAATGCAAACACTAAACTGCCTCATACTCTGTTTAATCCACCCTCTTGCAGATAAAGGATAGAGCTCAATACTTGATCTTAAATAAAAAAAATCCTCTCAGTTATAGGGATGTAAGTGACTTGTCGACTATTCGATAAGCTTAAGCCCTCCCTGTGGGGCTTCCTTTTGAAATGTACAAGAGCCCTGCTGGGGCTCTTGTACATTTCAAAGGCTGAGGCCTCTCAGGAAGCATGGAGCTAGCAGGAGTCCCCCCCACTGGCTCTGTGCTCTTCATGAGGCCTCCACTTTTTAACTGTAGCAAGAGCCCCGTAGGGCTCTTGCTACAGTTCAACGGCGTAGGTGCTCTTATAGACTAATCATATAGTCAATGGAAATCCCATCGACTATTCAATTAGTTAATTAATCTAAATTTAACATCCCTACTGAGATACAAGCATGGAAAAGGATTCTAGCTACTAAGTCTCAGTTTTCACATCTCTCTGAGTTAAAAGATAGCCAAATACTTCTAAAAATAGAAAAATGGCTCTCTGGCTGACATTATGAAGTCCAAATCACTGCCCAAGGATCGTTTTTATGACCATGTGAAGTCTTGACAATACGAATTATTGGAGGTTGCACTGACACAGTGTCAATCATAGCAGCATGGAAGGCACAACAATAATTAGCTGCATTTTGCTCTTAGGTAAAAAATCTTAGTAGGACTAACTCAAAGAAGCATTTGGCCATTTTACAGCATAATGCATAACTTAAAATAGAAAATGAATTATTTACGTGTCCATTTTGCAGCTAGATTTTAGCAGCATGGTATACATGTTGTTTCTATACCAATTACCAAATAGGACATACCTGCTCTGTAGTTCGTTGCCACATAAGGAGTCTTTACATGAATCTTCTCTTGTCTTACTTGAGTCTCCTTTCAATGAGTTACTCTCATCCTAAAAAACAGAAATCAAATTTTCATTAGCCCGGTTTCTGATTACAATAATTTAATTTAGAAATAGTTTCCTTCCATTTAGAAAACGACTATTAAACCGCTTACATTTCTTGAGGGAGAAAAAGCAAAAGGTGTAATGAACCAAACACTACTTTGGATCAGTTTTAATTAAAATCACTGGAACTCAGCTAATAAATTTTCAAGTAATAAATTGGAAAGAATTTCTGGGAGCTTACATCCAAGGGCCTGTGCAGACAATAATAGGCACTTATGCTTACTTATACACAAACAGGGTTGAGTGCTAGGAAGCATGTTGGTGGCAGCACTGAATTTGTATCTTGAAGTAGGGGAAAATGGAATCAAAGATTCATCACAACATGCCATTGTCATACAAATCATGCATTTTAATCAGTTAGTGGCATTCTAGAGGACAAAAATGGTTCGCTACAAGTATGCGAGGCTGAGGAGAATGGTAAGTTTACTGGACTTTAAGGTAACTATAATGTATTTATTGACTCTGCAGAGGTAGTCTTAAAAAATAACTACTTAGGACTCTTCCTCTTCCAAGTGCTTAACAAACATTATTGAATTAGTCCTCTGTGCAGAATTAAGTAGAATAATAACCACTGAAAGTCTGCAACACAACCAAGACTAGAAGGTAGAAATTCCTTCCCTTCCTTAATCATATGTAGTGTACAGGTATGGAATCAAGGCCTGTATGGAGTTGAGCCTAGAGGATGCTTTCAGCAGAAGTCAACTGCTCAAGGATTATTAAACAAAATTACCTTTCATGCATACCATTAAAATAACCAGATGGGATGAGAACACCAAACTGGGAGAGAGGACAGTGACCATGAAGGAAAACAGAAATATAATGGAGAGCCAGCTCCATAGCCTAGGACTGTGGCAAGACTACAGTATTTATTGTGGAGAAACACAAGGTAATGAGGGTGTCTGTGTGACCAGGAAATCCGACTCTGTCCTCGGTAGTTACACGCTAAAAAGCACATAGCAAAAGGAATCAAGTGCAGTGGTAAAGTCTGAAATGTTTGCCAGAAGCAAATTAAATTTTGGAAGGCATAAAAAGATGTATCAAATGTAAACAGGAATATGATGTCCGTAGAGCTGCATGAATAACTGAGTTTTTGGTTTGCAAACTTGTCCAAAAAACAAATCAAATCAATGTCCATTGGTGCAAGAACTAGAACTCAGGTTAAGCGCCATAATAGCTACACTTACGTTATAGGGATTTTCTTTACTCTTTCTTTGGCCCAATGAATATACTATGTGGAACAGCTGGGGGGACCCAGCCTTCTGAGCCCCCTCTGAGCCTGCCTTCTCTCCCAACTTTCAGTTGGGAATCCTGGGCATCCTTCTTCAACAGGGAGATGACTGAGAGCCCAACCCAGAACACCGTACAGTCTGGCAGACCTGAGTCTTTGTTTTAGAGTAGAGATTTGAACTAGGATCTCTCAGGTGGGTTCTCTAACTGTTGGTCTACTCAATGTAAGTGGGGCACCAACACTGTCTCCTGTTCAGTTTTGTGAATGATATCAAAGTCTCCTTGTGAAACCAACCCAAAGCATTTCAACTAAGGCAAAATGGTTTATTTCACCACATCCTGATTTCTTCTTGTTCTCAGCTGAAAAAATATCCTGAATTTCACAAATCCACAACATGTTTTGGTTGACCCAAATCTACATTTTGGGGGGGAGGAAAAGAGTTTGAGATGAAATATTTTGCCCAGCTCTAGTTTTCCATGTTATAATGAGAGCTGTAGCGGTCACCTTTGGAATATGATCCAGAGTTCTGGTCACAATGTTTTAAGATGACACTACTGATATCAAAACTAGCAAAATGCAGTTGGAGGCTGTTTGCAAGGGCTGCAGTTCGATAGAAAGGTTGGAGACATTAGGCCCATGGTCTCTGGAAGACCCTTCCAGAAGTGTAACAAATTTGGGCAAGAGTGGAGACCTGAACCAAGACGTTTTGTGTCCTGTATGCTAACTTGCCTCCCTTACCTGTTGCCTCCTACCACAACCCAGATGTGGAGCTTTCTGGGATAGGAAGTATCTTTCTACTGGGTGTTGTACAGCACTCTGTGTGCTGGGGCCCTGAGCCTCGCCTGGTGCCTCAGGTGATAGTTTAACACAAATTATTTCCATATAAATACATGTTAAAAAGCAATTCTCTGCTTACTTAAGTGAACAAAGGCAATGGGAAAAGGAACAGAAGAGCACAAGAAGCAGGCTTTATCTGAAAAAAAGTACAAAAGTACACTTATAAAAGTACAAAGGCTATAAGATCCCATATGCTGCTTGATGTCCCGCCTTCCTGTTTCTCCCCAGTGGGTCTCTCCCCCACCTGCCCTCCTAAATGGGATAGTCTTCATGGGAAGGGAGATGTAGTCACCGAGACATGCCTTACCGTTGTTAAACACCGACTGTGCTAATCCATCCACTCAGCTGCAGAAATGGCCCCGTCTGCTCAAGCCAGCACAGCACAGCCTGGCAAGTCTGGGTGAGCGTGCGAGGGAGAGATGGTTCAATATGGCCGCAGCAGACAAGAACCACCTTGTGCAGAGGCAGCTTCACAGTGGCATGAGGCTTTCTTTGGTGTTTTCAAATTAGGACTTTTCCAGAAGGAGCTAGTGGAAAAGAGGTGTTGGGGAAGAGACCCTTTTGCAGTTCCTCTTTAATAGCTACAAACCATTTACAGCATCATGGGAAGACAAAGTAGCCAGCCCTCAGGCTGTTTTAGCAAACCAGTGAATTCTATTATCTTAGAGTCATGGTCTGGTGTCCAGAAGAAGCAGCCAAGGGCTGCTGGTTTAGGCTGTGCAAACTTTCATTACACGTAGGTGCTAGACCGTCATAAAATTCAATTTGCCATCCTAAATTCATCGGAACATTAGAAGAAGCTGACCTGAGCTGTACCTGCTTTCAAGTGTTTAGAACACAGAACAATGTCAGAAACATCTTGTATTTAACAGCATGCAGTGCAGCTCACTCAAGGTCATCAGGTTCATGTACAATTTAGGACAAGTACATCATGTGCACTTACATTTGGTCAAAGAGTCCTGACATGAACAAAAATTGCTTTGAAAGACCATCAAGAGTAGACAAATAGAAATCAGATTGGGATGCTAGATTCTCAAACCCTGAATGTAAATGGATGGGCATAAACATACTTAAATTATATTAAATTTAGTTACCAAAGTGGGGATTCAGACTAAGTATTTTTCATTCGTCAAGAATTTCAGAGTCTGCAAGTATACCTAGCTTTATGAATAAACCTGTAGATTAATAATTTGGTAAACCAAATTTTGCCCTTTCTCCAAAAGAGGAGTCAGAGGAGCTCATGGATGTAAATTTTAGGCTAATCCGTACCAATTCATTCTCATGCCTTCGTGCAAAGAAGTCATACATAGCAGCATTGGTGTCAAACTGTACTGTTCAGTAAAGCACAACTCATGAAAATCCTACAGTCTAAAATCAGAGAAGGTACAAGATAGCACACCACTGGCAGTGTGCGCTGAGGACACACTTCACACAACAAACATCACTCTCAGAAGGTACGTCTGCACAACAATTAAAATACCCATGGCTGGCCCATGCATGTTGACTTGAGTGAAGGGAATGACCCGTTGGTCTGAGGTCTGCAATGACAAACGAATGGGCACAGGCCAGCTGTGGGTTTTTTTTAACTGCAGTGTAGACATACCCAGAGAGGCTGTCTGGAATGTGGAATGCCAAGCAAGGGAAGTAGGAAACAAGACATGAAATTTCAAGTGAGAAAAGGAGACAAGGACCAGTACACAGCAAGTATGGGAGAACACTTTGAGGAGGCAGGGTTGGGAGCTGGAGATGAGGGAAGTATAAAGCAGAGTGGAACTATGGACTGCTTTGACAACATGAAAGATCTTAGCAGATACGTTGTGGACGGACTAAAAGGGGGAAAAAAGAAAATGGGAAGGCCAATAAGGAAGAAGAAGGAAGGAAATTACTAGAGCATGGACAATCATGTTAGTGCCTGGTGTGAAGAGAGACTAATTTTGGAAATGTTGCAAAAAAGGAAATGACAAGTTTTGGCAACGGTGTGGACATGATAGAAGAATAAAAAACAAATACAAAATAACACTAAGCATGAAAGCCTGTAATACAGGAATAGAGGTGGCAGTATGAACCAATTGAGGAAAAATCCAAGACAAGGAGGAGTAGGGGAATAGTTCACTAGGTTCACTATAATGAATCTGAGATAGCAGCAAGAAGACAAACTGAAAGTAGCAGAGAAGTAGATTTATGGATAAGAGGACCCAGAGAGAGAGAGAGAGAGAGAGAGGTCAGAGTCAAGAATTAAGCCCTGGGAACTCTGACAGAGAGGAAGAGGAAGAGAAGATATTGCCATAGAAAAAAGTACTACAGAACTGGTTCAAAAGGAAGGAGAAAAACCGAGACAGCTCAGTAAATTGGAAGACTGGATACAAATAGGTATCATCAGTCCTTTCAAAGGTGAAGAGAGCTAAAGCCATTAGATCTGGCCAAGAAATTGTCATTGGTTTCTTTAGCAAGAGTGGTTTTGCCACTTGACTATACAGAAAATTAGTCTACAAAGGGTCAAAGTCAAGGAAGGAATAGTCCATACGATCAAGAGAGGAGGGAAAGAAAGTTGGGAGTCAGTAAGATTTCATGTTGGGAGAAAAACAAGGGAATGTTTTAATATTAAAGAGAGTGGTTGAGGATAAAGATGAGACCAAGACTCCTTCCCTCCTTCATGTCCAGTGACAGAATTGTGATAGGTTGATTTGAGATGTTTGTACAACACTGACTTTCCATGCTCCGTTTATCTATATTTACTCGCAGGGAAACCTGACTACACGTATAATTACTATTTGTGCCAGAGTGCTGCTGATGCAGGAGTTTGTATTTGTGCAGTTCTCAATAAAGAATGGTTTAAGATGCTCAGTGCTGCAATAAGCTGGCATGGCATATAAAATGCTTCGCTCACCCCCAGTTATGTTGCATGCACAGGTGGAGCGACAACAGAAGTCTGTGCTTTGGAGATAAGAGATCTTGGGAAGGGAAATTTCTCTAGTGTTTTCCCTTAGAGAATGGCAGATATTCAAAAGGCAACACAGAGCAAAGTTTGTCTACACTACACAGACATGGCCCTGTTGCTAAAAGTCCAATGTAAATGGAACAGGATTTGCATTGCCAAGAGAAATATGGACCACTCCTGTGGATAGCGAGTCATATACGCTGCCACTTATCGAAGCAAACTTTTCTCTCTCGGAAGGGAAGGGGAGAGAGTTGGGAGGTTTAAGCATTTGTGAATGTCAAAAGCTTTGCCACTCAATTGGTAGTGTAAACAAAACTTGGACTGAAACGTTATGAAATAGGTTCCGAGATTTCTGGCTACACAGATTTGATTTTTTTAAGCACAATTCTACACTGAAGCGGGTTATGAAAAAGAAACTCCCTCTGTTTCTGGATGGAGTAGCACTATAAATCAAGAGCCCAGTTTCTATTCACAGCTTACTTATTGGGTAACCTTAGCAAGCCATTTCACATCTCTGTACCTCAGGTTCCCCATTTCTAATACTAGCTCTCTTTCATAAATCTTTAAGTTCCATGGATGAAAACTCTAAGTATTATCACTACTGTGGGTATGTATACACTACACAGCTTTTAGCGACAAGCCTATGTTGACACAATACTTCCATGCCCTTTCGTAGCATCTTTCTCTTTGTCAGCAGGAGAGCACTCTTGCTGGCAAAGAAGCTTTCACATTTACACTTACCACCGCAAAACGTTGTCATTCATGGGGAAGAAAGGTTTAAGTACCCATGAATGACAAAAGTGTGGTCAATCAAGAGCAAGTGCAGACCTGGTCTGAGGAGATCTGCTCCAATTGAGTTTCACGAACATTTTTTACTAGTTACCTCTAGTGACTTGGATTCTAGGCTAGCTTACAGATCAGTAGCACCGTTAATTGCATTTCAACTACAAAATTATTGGTAGGGGACCATGAGTTAGAATGAACACAGACACTGACTTTCAGATTCTAGGTTGAGGTAGGCAACTCAAATTTCAAATAAAACCTTTTTACTTGTACACTGATTTGACCCACAGAGTCACCAAGGCACAAAAATGGAATCTCAGTGCCAGTTTTACTGAATCACTTTCCAGAGCAGAATTGCTTTTATGGATGTAAAAGCTTAACATTTTTAAAAATCTTGGCCCGTGTTTCTAGAACTCAGACATGCCAAGAGATGAGTTCACTTATCTGATTACAAATAGCCCTAAGTTTTAATGGAATGGAATACACTGGTCTAGGGCATAATCTTATTCATGAAAAGAGCACTCTCTTCCTCTTTCATTCACAGGAAGATGAATGAATGAAGAGAAAGTAACATGCATCTGAGAAACAAAGATATCTGAACAACACTGAGTACAGCATCACCAGTTGGGTGGCGCTCAGGCATTTGGGAATTAAGCCCTTACCTTTCTGAAGCTACATAACAAATCTATACCAAGCTTATTCTAAATTGGAGGAAGACACAGAAATGTAACAAAAAGTCACTATCCCTTGATGCTCTGTGAGGGAGTTAACACAAGCCCTGTCCGTAAAGGCTGCATAATGCCTGCCACATTGCACTTGAAATAGCTCAGCGATGTGCAGAATCCAGATTCCAGAGCCGCCTGCCAAGTCCATCACTTGTACAGAAAAGGAACCTTTCTATTACAACAAATCTGTAGGAGGCACAATTTTCTTCCTTAAACATTTAGTGGCAATAAATGTTTTAGCTTGTAAACATAAAACTTACAAATGTTAGCATTTGCCTAGCACTGTGTGTCCTTAAAATGTTTTTCACTCGTTTATGGATCTCTTCGCCATTCTGTGGGGGGAAAGCGAGGGACAGACAGACAGGGGGGGGGGGGGGGAAGGGAGAGAGAGAAAATCAAAGAAAGATTTTTAGTTTAAAGATGGCCCACACTTTTTGCTGTGAAGTTTACTTAAATCAAGAAACGCAAATGATTTGGAATGTATAGACGGTTAAGGTTCAATCCTCTCTTGTTCCTCTGGTTGCTCAGTGGTTTAGGAGATTAGCAACCAACGTTAACCAAAAGAGCCACAGTAGTGTGAATTCATGGTTTCATTTGCTATATATTAATATTTAACGTGTACACCAGGAGAAATACTTATACTTAACTGTGTACCTATGTTATTGTCACAGCAATATGACAGATCAGTATTATTATTTTATCAACTACAGGTTCAACCCCTCAAATCCAGCACATCTGTGGACCACACAAACCTGGCCCTCGACCACAAGCTGCTCGGGAGCCCCAGTCTCGGGATCCCCAGCCAGCCTGGCAGCAGCGGTCCGGTGACTGGGGATGGGTTGGCGGAAGCTGAGGATCCTCAAGGCCAGAGACTCTGGCTGCGGCAGCAACAGCCGGGCTGTCAGTGGCTGGAGATCTGTGGAGCTGGGCATCTCTGGCTAGACCTTCAGGAGCGGGATCAGCAGCTGGGGATCCCCAGGGCTGGGCTGGTGGTGGCTGCAAAGCCCCGGCTCTAGGGATCCCCAGCTGCAATGGCAGCAGCCGAGCCACCGGGGGCTGGAGATCCCCAGGGATCCCCAGCTGCGCCACCAGCAGGAGGGTCATCAGAGAACCTTCCCTGGTCCGGTAAAATCCCTCGATTGAGAACGGTCAGGTCCTGAAGGTGCTGGACCAGGGTGGTGCAACCTGTACAACTGGTTATTAACCCAGCAAAAGCATCCAGATTGGATAGTAACTTAGATCAGTTAATAATTAATAATCAGCGTTTCACTATCAAGTGCGGGAAAAAGCCGCAAGAGACACATTAAAGAGTCACTTGTGGTTCTGAGACTCAATCTGAGAATCACTAGGCTAAAGAAACCTTTCAAAAGGTGCACTGGGAAAATGCAGCCACAATTTCAATTATGTGCAAGGATTGTCCATATTTGCTGTGCATTGATTTATGCTCTTTATATGTAAGGCTGCGTGTCTGCCATGGAAGACTGATTCCATGAGTTTCCATGACCTCCATGACTTCTGTAGTGGCAGGACAGCTGGCTCCAGGGCTGTCCAAGCCGATCAGGCAGCCCACGGGCCAGGTGCATTGGCCGCTATTGGAGCAGTCTGGGGCTCACAGCTGGGGCAGGGGTCTGTGGTGCCAGGTAGCACTTATCTCAGAATCAGCCAGCATGTCCCTACAGATCCTAGGGGGACGGATGGAGGTGAGCTCCTTCAGGCACTGCCCCTGCCATGAGCTCCACCACAATAGCTCCCATTGGCAACACGGAACCATCCCCTGACAAATAAGGGCACTAGAATTTTTAAACATGGACGTGAGACGATACAACGAAAAGCACCTTGCAACCTGCTGTTTGCTGATGACTTAGTGAGAAGCGAGAAAGACAGATTCTGCAAGCTGACTTTGAACTGTGACAGCATAGTTTGGATTTCAAACTACAAGCATTTGGATTTCAGGTGAACATTGGTAAGACTGAGGCTATGACAACTGGGGGAACTGACTGTCAGGGATGTTTTGAAGGCTAAAACTATAATAGGGTTCAAAAAAGAATTAATGTTTCTGGAAGACAGGTCCATGCATGGCTATTAGCCAAGATAGTCATGGAGGCAACCCCATGATCTTGGAGTCCTTAAGCCTCTGACTGCCAGAAACTGGGAGTGGAAAAAAGGGGGTGCAACATCCAATAATTTCCTGTTTTGTTCATTCCCTCAAACACTTGGCATTGGTCACTTTTGGAAGACAGGACAAGGAGTCAGATAGACAACTGGTCTGACCAACTATGGTCATTTTTAGGATAACGATTCCCTCCTGAGTGATGTGTGGCACTAACTTAACACTGTGTGATACAAGTAGCAAGAACTGACCTCAATAATGCTACAAGACAGAGTATCTGAAATTGCACTTTGATCCACATTAACATATGGAACAGAAACATGGCCAGCTACAAGAAAGGAAAACAGTATGCTCTCCATCTCAGAAATTAAGACACTGAAATGGCCAACTGGTTGGACATTTTATGGCAGGAAACAAAATAAGGTCATAAGGGCCTAATGTGGCTTGCCCCAACAGACAAGTTGCCCAGGAATATCAAGCAGAGATCAGACAGCTGTATCACTAGGATGGTTCTTGAATGGTTGTGGACAGAAGATAACCAAGGAAAAGCCCAAAACCACTGCACATGGAACAGATATTAATAGACCTCAGAAATGCCAATCAGAACAACAGCCTGGTGTGTATTATCATGAGTTTTCGAAGAAAACTATAAAAAAAGTCACCAACCCCCAATAAGAAAGAAAGATGGCGACTCAAAGGATTCAATGTGATCTAAATTCTTGTGTGTCAGAGAACCACCAACATCTAACTGAGCAACTTCAAATATGGGCAGGGTATTTCTACCCTTTCCTTCATTTTCCTTTATCTATTTGATCTATTCTAAATTATTCATTATTGGGTATGCCTCCAGGTCTTCCCTGTAAACAGCCACAATCTTTTCAGTCTATCCTCCCACAGGATATTTACAAGTATCTATTCACCTGTCATCCATTTTTGCACCTCTCCTGTTTTAACGATCTCTCATTGGAGAGAGGCTACATAGAATTGACACAGTCACCCAAGTGAGGGTTATCACTGATTTATAGAGCAGAATATTTTTAGATTCCTTATATAATTTAAGATTGTTTGCTTTTTGACCATCACTGAGGAGACCCTTTTTTCATTAAGCCAAAAATATCTTTTTCTGGAAGCATTACAGTTAATTTAGAACCTAGCAGCATGTATGAATAGTTCAAATTATTCTATTGTTCTCCAGATCCTGAGAATAAAACAAAACCTTGTCAGAGTAACAGATTTCAATTCACCATTCTTAGAAAAAGGCCAAGTGGTCTGTTGACTTCTTTTAATTGACTCATCATGAAAGATATTATGAGTGAGAAGGCTGGATTCTGCATTTTCTCATATCACTGAACTAAGTCTGATGTACAAAATTACACTGAATACATATAATTGGTATGCAGTAAATTGCTAGAAAGCTGCAGCTCTGCAGAAATGCTCTGATTTAGAATGAACTAGATCAGGTAAGAGAAAATTAAAAAACAAGAAAAAAGAGCAAGGTTAGTAATGTGATCTTCCATCTACTTGTAGTCACTAATTCCAAACCTTAACACAAGGGAAACTGCTGCTGAACTTGTGCACATAGAAATGTAGATTTACAAGCAATTCAAGTGTGCCAGTTCTTATTTTCACAAATGAAATGTGGTCCATGACAGTGTGGCACTTTGCCTCATTTATTTTCATTTTGTCAGATTTCCTTGTGTTGTTTCATATTGGAAAGACAGTCAGACATATTGCTGCAGTTTATAGAATTTGCTTTAAAAAAAACCCAGGAAATAAAGTAGCTAATGTTCATTTGGAGTATTTCAAAGCACTGTTATTGATTTTGCGTTTGCAAATATCCTTTAGAAGTCATATGCTATTCTTATCAGAAAAACCATGTGCCACAGGAGAAGGCTAAGTATTTAGTGCAAAAACTATAGGCATTTTCAGTGGCATTACTGAACAATCCACTAGTGTGCACTGTGGTATAAGAAATGTTTGTTGATCACATAACCCTGAACTTAATTTACAAAAATCAAAACCTTAAGTATGATTAAAAACAGTATCAGCTCCTTTTTAATTAGTTTTGCCAGTATCTTTACTGTCTAATTTTAGTAATAACTACAAAGCCTAATCCACATTTTAAGTCATAATATTAATATTTACACCAATCAAAACTCATCCTAAAATAAAATTATGCCAGAAAATGTAACACCCATAATCAAAATTTAAACAATTTAATGATGCGATAACTCCTATTGGACAGATTTTATAAAATGGGTTTCAGAGCAAAGCTTCTTAAACTATAAATAAAGGAATTTCATTTGCCTGAAACTAATAATGTATTTTAAAAACCACTAGCTACTTATTTATGTGATTAAAGTGTCAGTATTCTATTGCTACGTTGGTGGAAAAGTCATTTCATTTCAATGGCTGTTTGCCCTGATAAACTTCTACGGCTGTATTTTGTCATACTTCCAATTTTCCTGGGGACTTGCAAACATTCTGCAGTTACATCAGTTTAAATTGTTTATTGATTCCAATAGATTGTATAAACACTTTGGAAGTATAGCTCAGTGACCTAGAAAAAAGCCAGATCAGAGACGTTCTCATCATTCATTTAGAAGATGCTATGTCTAGGTGCAAAACTATTTTCCCTTGGAACGTGACTAAAGGCATTTATTTTCTTTTATGAGGTAAGGTTTTTTTTTCAAGTCACACAAACAGAAAACATTTACCTTAGTGTCGGGGGGGAGGAGTGAGGAACCCAAGTCCGGATGTTCTAATACAGATGACTATAATTCTCAAACATCCATTAGGATGGGACAGACTATTAGTAATTCAAATATATGTGTCTATACTGTTTAACTATCAATTTAAAACCCTCAACTTTATAATAAATAGGTGTTTTCTAAATGTCAGACAGTCCCATAATTCTTTTGCTAATATCACATATGAGCAAGAAATCCTACACCATCTTGGTTAGCAGAGTTAATGCAAAAGCTTACTAGAAAACATTTGCAGTGCATATAACCCCTTCCCCATCAGTAAGCCTCCCAGTAGTGTGTGTAATTGTGTGTATGTGGCCTCCATGAAGAATTTATCAACTTCAAAGCAGAGACTTCTTGCTGAGAAGAAACTACATACAAGGACAAACTATCACAGGACAGAAATCAATAAAGTACTATAGTAGCAGATTCACAATTGGAGAGCACAACTGAAGACAGAAAAAGGGAGAAAAAATAAC